GGGTTCTCTCCCCAGCTGTGGGAGGGGAGTGGGGCCTGGTGGGTTAGAGCAGGGGGGGCTGGGAGCCAGGACTCCTGGGTTCTCTCCCCAGCTGTGGGAGGGGTGTGGGAGCTGGTGGGTTAGAGCAGGGAGGGCTGGGAGCCAGGACTCCTGGGTTCTCTCCCCAGCTGTGGGAGGGGTGTGGGAGCTGGTGGGTTAGAGCAGGGAGGGCTGGGAGCCAGGACTCCTGGGTTCTCTCCCCGGTGCTGCCACTGATTTGCTATGTGAGCCTGGCCAAGTCTCTTTGTCTCTGCTCCTCCCTCCCCGTGTCTCTGGGTCAGGGGCTGCGCTGTGCCTTGGCTCCCGTGGGCAGAGGCTGTTCTGGGGGCTGGGTCCCTCCGCCGGTCCTGCCAACGCCTCCCGTCTCCTCCCTCCCCACAGAGACTTCCAGGAGATCTGCCCCTTCTGCCCCACGCCCAGGCAGCTCTCGGAGCCGTGAGTGTCTCCGTGGGGACGGGGAGGGGGGTCCTGCTCACACTGCCTCTCCATGGGGCCAGGGCAGCCCCATGCCGCGAGGCCCAGCCAGGACCATGGGGGGCGGCTGCCATGGGGGGGTGGGTGCCATGGGGAGGGGGACCATGGGGGCAGGTGGCAGGGGTGGGTGCCCGGGGGAGGTGGGTGGCAGGGGATGCCAGGGGGCAGGTGCTGTGCACTGGCAGGGGGGCAGGGGCTATAAGGCGGATGCCATGGGGAGGTGGGTGGCAGGGGGCCATGAGGTGGGTGCTATGGGGCAGTGGGTGGCAAGGGATGCCAGGGGGTGGGTGCCATGCAGTGGCAGGGTGGTAGGGGGCCATGAGGCGGGTGCTGCGCAGTGACAGGGTGGCAGTGGGCTATGAGGCAGATGCCATGCAGGAGCAGGGGCCGTGAGGTGGGTGCCATGGGAAGGTGGGTGGCAGGGGGCTGTAAGATGGGTGCCATGGGGAGGTAGGGAGGAAGGGGACCATGGGGGCAGGTGGCAGGGGTGGGTGCCATGGGGAGGTGGGTGGCAGGGGATGCCAGGGGGCGGGTGCCACGCAGTGGCAGAGAGGCTCCTGTCCTGGTCCCGGGGGACTGACCCGCTGATCGGTTCGTTCTCTCCCTGCCAGAGATGTGGCCGTGCTGGAGGTTCCCTCCCTTCCTGAGCCTGGACGGTGAGTCCCGGCCCCGGGGCCCTGCCCAGACCCAGCCGGCCCTCGAGGGATCCTTCCCCCTCCGCCCGGGTCTCCCTGGCTCTGGCTCTCAGAGAGTCAGAAGGGTGGGGCTGGAAGGGACCTCGCGAGGGCACCATGTCCAGCCCCCCGCGCTGAGGCAGGGCCGGGTGTACCTGGACCAGCCCTGACAGGGGTTTGTCCAACGTGGGATCCCACAGCCTCCCTCAGGAGCGGGTCCCCACCTTCACTCCCCAGCCGCTGGACAGGTCTTCCTAGGCGCTAACCTCAGTCTCCCTCCCATTGCTTCTCGTCCTACCTGCCAGGGACGTGGAGAACAAGTGATTTCCCACCCTCCCCCCATGTAGAACAGCCCTGAGCAGCTCTGCAGAGTGTTCTCAGGTCCCCCCTCAGCCCCTTCTCTCAACACCAAACAGGCCCCGGCTGTGTGACCCTTCCTCACAGGTCAGCTTCTCTGAACCCCTGTGTGACGGGTTGGGCCCCTTGGGACGCCCCCCGATGTGCTGAGCTCCCCCGAGTCTGCCTGTCCTGCCAGCCTGGGCCCCCTTCACCTGGCTTGCTGGGACAGGCTAGTACAGGCAAGTCTCATCTTGTGCGCATTTAACATGCGCAAATTCAGCTTTGCGCGCTCGGCAAAACCAACAACAACAAAAGAGAAAAATAACAATTGAAATACTGTACCTGTAGTGCGAGCGATTCCGCCCGCCATTACGCTCAGTGGAATTTTGACTCTACGCGATTTTCGCTTTACGCGCTGACAGCGGAACGTAACCCCCGCGTAAGATGAGACTCGCCTGGAAAAGCTCCTCGGCACACAGGCAGGGCCACCCCCAGCTGCAGGTCAGCTCTGGGCAGACTCCGCTCCAGCGCTCGGGTGCTCACTCCTTTTAGGGGGACAAACCCAAACGCGGCCCCTCCCTCAGTGTGGAGAGAGGTGTGCACACTTCTTCCCCACCCCACCCCCTGCTAGAAATTACAGAAACAAATGGTATTAACTATAAGGGTCAGAGTTTCAGTGGTGAAAGGGGTAACACACAGAACAACGCAGATCACCAAGCAAATGAAAACAAACCCGCAGACTAAGACATTTCTCCCCCTGGATGTCATTGCAGGCAGGTTGCAAAGTTACTGTGGTTCCGAGTTCCAGTTATTCCTTTTCAGACTGGACCCGTCTCAGTCTGGACTCCCCCCTGCCTTCCCTTCAGCAGTCTGTCTTCTTGGGCAGACAGGCCATGGCGAGGAGGAGTCCTGTAGGCGGGAATCCTTTGTTTCCCAAACTTGACTCCCCCCCCCAAGGTAGTGGCTGAGGGGGTCACAACCATGGCAGGGTGGAGGTCACAGCTGTGGGGGGAGGTAGTGGCTGGGTGGGGTAACAGCCGTGGGGGGAGGTAGTGACTGCGGGGTCACAGCCGTGGGGGGGCAGGCCGGAGCTGGGGGCCCGGCTGGGCCTGGCGTGGAGCACGTTGTGCGTCGGGGCCAGTTCTGGTTCTCATCGGGCCCTACTGCCCTTTGCCCGGAGGCAGCAGGTGGGGTCTCTCCCCAGGCCCTGGGGCAGGGGGTGTGTGAGCGGGACCCGCCGGGTCAGGCTGGGGTGGGGTCATGGCGGGGCGGGTGCCGTCCGTGTGTCCAGCCTCTCACCGTGGGTCGCTCCCCCACAGCGCCCCGTGCCCCGAGACCACCCCGGCCCCTCTGCGGCTCCAGGACCTGGCGGCCGTGCGCTACGAGGACGGGCAGCACCAGGGCCTCCCTGTGGTCCTGGGCACCGGCGGCTTTGGCAGAGTTGAGCTGGTGAGACCAAGCAGCCCCTCCCGCCAAGCACCAGTCCTGGGGGGCAGAGCTGCGGGCGTGCCGAGCCCTCACCCCCCAGCCTGGGGGGGAGACCCCGGGCCCTGCGAGGCCCCTGACGCCCTGTTCCCCCCAGGTGCGCGGGCGGGGGCTGCTCTTCGCCCTCAAGCGGATCCGCAAGGAGCACGTGGTGCGGAGGCGGCAGCAGGAGCACGTGCGCACCGAGAAGCGGGTGCTGGAGCGGAGCCGCTGCCCCTTCATCGTGGGGTAGGCGCCGCCCCTGGGCTGGGGGCAGAGCACAGGGGGCAGCGAGTGCAGTGGTGCCCCCGGGCGGAGGGGCACTGGTGGGGTTGCTGGGGGGGGGGCTGTCCCCAGGAGTGGGGGGCGCTGGTGGGGGTGCTGGGGGGCTGCCCCCAGGAGTGGGGGGCGCTGGTGGGGTTGCTTGGGGGGGGCTGTCCCCAGGAGTTGGGGGCGCTGGTGGGGGTGCTGGGGAGCATTGTCAGGATGCTGTGGCGGGGAGGGGGTCGGAGGCTCCAGTTTAACCCCTTCTCACCCTCTCCCCTAGGCTCTTTGGCACCTTCAGGGACAGCCAGTACGTCTACATGCTGCTGGAGTTCTGCCAGGGGGGCGAGCTGTGGACGAAGCTGCGTGAGGTGTACGGAGCTGGGGCACGCGGAGCGGGGGGACGGCGTGGGGGGGGTGCTGGTGGCAGCGCGGGTGAGGCTGTGGCAGACGGGGGCTGGTGCGGGTGTAGGATGGGTGGGCAGCGGGTTGGCAGGTGGCGCAGGCGGGGCCATAGCGGGGTTGTTGGGGGTGGGTGGGGTAGTGGTGGGATTGCTGGGGGCGGGGCCGTGCTGGGATTGCTGGGGGCGGGCAGGGGCTGGTGGGATTGCTGGGGGTGGGCGGGGCCGTGCTGGGATTGCTGGGGGTGGGCGGGACCGTAGTGGGGTTGTTGGAGGGCGGGGGGCGGTGTTGACTGGTGGCACAGGCAGGGTTGCCGTGTGCCGGGCTGGCAGGTGGCGTGGGCGGGGCAGTAGTGGGGCGGCTGGAGGATAGGAAGGGGTCAGGCCGGGGGCTGTGCCTGCGGGGGCCGTGCCGGCCATGGGCACAGGGCGGACGTGTGGGCACTGAGCCGTCATGCCCCCCAGGCGCTGCTTCGAGGAGGAGGTGGCCGTGTTCTGCTCAGCGTGCGTGGTTGAGGCACTCGACTACCTGCACGGCAACGGGATCATCTACCGGGACCTCAAGCCCGAGAACCTGATGCTGGACAAGTGGGGCTACATCAAACTGGTACCTGGGGGCAGGGCCGGCAGGCCCCGGAGCAGCCAGTGGGGCTCTAGCGGGGGAGCTGCCCGGGTCGGCCCCGGTCTTCCTGGCACTGGGGAGAGGCCTGGGGCACGGCCCCTCCCGGAGGCTCTTGGTGGAAGGCCCCTGGCCTGGTGGGGTGAAGGGCAGGACCCGGAGTGCAGGGAGGCCCCGTTCCCAGCCGGATGGGTGCCAGGGAGGGCTGGATGCTGCCAAAGCAGAGGTAGGGCTCCTGGGCCAGTCATGCCATCCCTGTCCCCAGGGCCTGCGCTGTGCCCTCCTGCCGGGGTCGGGGGGAGCTGGGTGGCACTGTGCCAGTCCATGGGACCTCGGCTCCCTGCGCGGTGGCCGGAGCAGCAAACAGGTGCTAGGCCGCGCATGGACTGCGAGCAACAGGAACAGTCCCCAAGCGCTGCCCAGCCCCGTGGGCCCCTCGCCAGGCTCTGGTCGAGCACCTGGTGCCAGGGCAGCGAGCAGGACGGGGTGTCTTGGCTGGGCAGGAGGGAGATAAGAGGTAGGCGAGGGGAACAGGTCTGCACCTGTTGAGCATGAGGAAGAGACGGGGCAATAGGGGGCTAATGCTATTCCCCCCCTCCCCCGAGAGCAGAGCCAGGGATGGCTGCTGAATTGGAAAGGTGCCAGATGGAGCTGTGGTCAAAGGAAGTGCCCTTCGTGCATGGCACTAACCTGTGGAACTCCCTGCCACATGACAGCATGGAGGCCTAAGAGGAGCAGGATTCAGGGAAGCGAAAGACCTTCTGTCAGGGATCTACAGGGCCGGGCTATGGCCCCAGCCTGGGAACAGTCTCTGGGAGGGGCCCTTCAGTGGGCCAGCCCCCACCGGGTCTCACTCTTCCCCCAGGGTGAGCCACGCAGCCTCTGGGCCTCTGGCCCCCAGCTTCCTGCAGAGACCCCTTGGGTCCCCCTCCCACCTCCCAGGCCTTGTTGTCTCGGGGGGTCCCTTCCCATCCCCCCGGCGGGGGGAAATCCCCGAGTCAGAGAGCTGGCATGGCCTGTCTGCCCCCTTGCTGAGCTGGGTCCATTTCGAGCAGTCCCTTAACGCTTTCTCACCCCACCCAGCCAGGGCAGCGACCCCCAGCCCAGGTCTCTAGGCCTGGCCGGCCTGGCGGGGGTGGGGCTCTGCTCATGGCCCACCTGTTGGCAGGTGGATTTTGGCTTTGCCAAGGAGCTGGCGCGGGGGGAGAAGACCTACTCGTTCTGTGGCACGCCCGAGTACCTGGCACCTGAGATCCTGCGGCACGAGGGCCATGACTTCGCCGTCGACTTCTGGATGATGGGCATCCTCATCTTTGAGATGCTGGTGGGCCGGTGAGGGACCCCGCGAGCCGCCCCGCCCCTGCCTGGGATCCCCGCGGTGCCCCCAGGGGGTCAGCCCCTGCCCCCATCTGTGCCTGGGACCCCTGTAGGGGTCAGCCCCTGCCCCTACCTGTGCCTGGGATGCTCGTGGTACCCCCCAGGGGTCAGCCCCTCACCCACCTGTGCCTGAGACCCCCCGCAGTACCCCCCGGGATCAGCCCCTCCCCACCATTGCCTGGGACGGCCTGTGGTACCCCCCGGGGGTCAGCCCCTCTCCCCCACCTGTGCCTGCGACACCTGCAGTGCCCCCTGGGGGTCACCTCCTGCCCCCCTGTGTCACAGAGTGTGGGGGGACACAAGGGCCTGCACCCCCGGCTTCCTGCAATTCTCCATG